TTCCTTTCTTCGTTTTTCCCCACTTATAATTAGTCCCTTTTAAGAAAACAACCTTAGAATCAGACCGTAAAAGACTCAAAAACTGAAACATTTCCTCCGTCCGTCTCCCCCTGTCAAACTGCTTGCCTGGGAATCGTCCTGTCAAACCTGGCAGCAGAACGCGCCTGCCCAGAAGGTGCTTCAGACCGACTTCCTTAAATCACTGTCTAATAAATCTTGAAACATGAAAATGAGGTATAACAATGTTAACAAAGGCCTTTGAAAGCATATATGTGGAACAGCAGACACTGATAATGAGCCAAATATCGTTTTGACAACGGTGTAGTAATACATGAACTACTTAACAGAGCGCAAGAATGAGTTGACTGGTCACAATTTTGTTTACATTCACGATGTCAACATGGCGAGGGACTTAGAAAAAGATGGGTTGGTCTTCTCTCTTCTCTGTCGATTTGCGCACCTTTTGCCATAGATGAAAAGTGTCTCACTTTACGTCAAGGTAACCATTCCATATCTTTTTTTTTACTCAATTCCTGATTGTTATCAACTGTAAATTTACCCGCACACTTATAGACCGTAATTGTATAAAATGAAACGGCATTACTGCTTTGTTTCCAAGAGGAAAGGATATCGAATGGCGATTTTTAAAATATTGGGACGCGTGTCCAATAACTTATTATTGAGTTACGGTTGAACTTCATACAAGATAATTTTCTTAAAATCACTCGCTCTATCGTATTTTTCGTCTAAAAGAAGGCTGGCTGGAAATTTACCGGTACCAGAAAGAGTAAATTTGATTTTTGCTTCCCAGTGAGACTTTCCGAGCAGCTTAATTCAAACAATAAACGCCTGACTTCAAAACAATAGCCTTTTGCATACCTTATGATTCCTCGTTGTGCTCTGCAATGTATAATATTTGCGGGTCCACACAGGCACTCCAAATGTAATAACCCAGTCAATTAAGATTAATGATCCCGACTTCAGCCTATGTATTTCTCCTTCATGATTCGCATAAGAAGTAAACAGCTCACAGTCACAGCATCACAACTCTTGTCTCGGCCGAGTGTTGTGTTTCGAACCCGAGAATCAGAGCTTCGAATCTCCTCGTATCTTTTGTTTGAGAAAGACGATTCGATTGTTGACTATTGGTAATACAGATCTAGTTATTGTATGCTTTTGTTGATGCTAATAGTAATAATATATAATAGTAATAATAATAAGATGCTAATAATGATAATCTTTATTGTTGTTTTTATTATTATTATCATTATTATTATTATTATCATTGTTATTGTTGTTGTTGTTATTATTATTATTATGAGCATTATTGTTATTATTATAGTAGTAGTAGTAGAGTAACAGCAGAACCACTACCATTAATAGAATTATTATCAGTATCAACACCATTATATCATTATTATTATTATTGTCAGTTTTATTATGATAAGGCGTTTCATTATTATTATCGTTGTTGCTCTTACTATTATTACTCCTATTATTACTATTATTATATTATTATCATTATGATTTTAACATTATTATTATTATCATTACCATGACTGTTTATTATTGTTATTATTATTGTTGTTATCATTATTGTTATTATTATTATTATCATCGATATCATAATTATTATTATTATCATTATCATTATGACCATTATCATCATTATTTGTTATTATTATTATCATTGTTAGTATTGCTATTATCATCGTTATTATCATTATCATTATTATTGTTGTTATTCATATTGTTAATATTACTATCATTATCTTATTATAACTATAATGATTATTGTTGTTTATATTATCATTATCATCATCTTTGTCATTGTAGTTACTGTCATTATGATTATTATCATCAATATTACTGTTATTAGTTATTGTCATTACAATCATTATACTATCTTTTCTATTGTTGTTCTTGTCATTATCGTCAATGTTATTATTATTATTATCATTATCATAATAATTATTACTATTAGTAGTAATGGTAATGGCAGTATTACTATCATTATTATTATCATTGTCTTTATCATTGTTGTTATTGATATTATCATTGATTCATTTGTTTATGATCGATTTTGTTATTATTATTGTTGTCGCTATTATTATTCTTTTCATTATTTATTATTATTATTATTATTATTATTATTATTATTATTATTATAATAATTTTTGTTATTATCATTATCATTATTGTTATCAGCCTCGGTATCATCATCATCATCATCATTATTATTATTATTAATATCATCATTATTACTGTCATTGGTATTAGTATTATTGTTATCATTATTATTGTTGCTTCTGTTATCATTACTACTATTATCAATTATTTTATTATTATTTATAGTACGAGCATGATTATCACTATTATCATTTTCATTATTAGTATTATTATCATTATAATTGATATCATTATCATCACCATAATCATTATTATTATTGTTATCAGTATTATTGTTGCTGCTGTTGTTCTGATTATTACTGTCATTATTATTTTCATCACCATCATCACTGTTATTATAAATATATTTTTGCTATTGTTTTCATTATTGTTGATTTGGCCACTATCGTCATTATCATCATCACTATTCATACGGTTAGCATTAGGATCGATATTGTTATAATTGTTGTTATCATAATCACCATTGTTATTATTGTCATTCCTGTTCTTATCATCATTATTTTTACTGTTTTTGTCATTATTGTTATTAATATTGTCATTTTCATTCTTATTGCTATTATTATTATTGTTGTTATTATTATCATTATTATTATTATCATTATTATTGTTGTTATTGTTATCTCTACTATCACTATTATTGATAATATCGTTGTTATTCTTTTTATTATTATTGTTATCTTTATTTCTGTTATCATTATAATAATAATTATTATTATTATCATTTTCATTGTCATTATTACTATAATCATTATGATTATCATTATTGTTACTACTATTATTCTTTATACTATTATTATTGTTATTATCATTATCATCATCTTTATCCATTATTCTTTTTCTAATCATGATTATTATCATCATTGTTTGTATCATTATTATTGTTATCATTATAGTTATTATTATCTCCGTCATTATTATTATTATCATCATTATCATTATCATCGTCATCATTATTATCATTATTTCGATTATTATTGTCTTCGTCATTATTATTATCATTATTATTAGTATTATTATTATTATATATCGTTATTATCATTATTACTATTGTTATTGTTGTTGCTAATGTTGATGATATTGCTATTGCCGTTACTGTTCGTACTTAATCATAATAATCATTATTATGATTATTATTATTATCATTATTTTATTGTTACTATTGTTGTTTTAATTAAAGTTGTTGTTGTAATTATTCATTATCCTTATTGTTATTATTAACATTAGCATTGTGATTATTGTTATTATTATTATTATTTATTATTATTATTTTTATTATTATTGTCGTGATTGTTGTTACTATTATTATAACAATAATAATAGCAATAATGATGATAATAATAACAATAATAATAATAATGAGAACAATAATAATAGCAGTAATAATAAAAATGATAATAGCAAAAATAACAATATGATGGTATTTGTAGCAACTTTAACAGCTATAATAAGAACAATAATAATAATAATGATAATGATGATAACGATAATAATAATGATAGCAATAATAATAGTAATGAAAATGATAATAATATCATCATCATTACTATTTTCATTATCTTATTGCTGTTATCATCACCATCATTATCATTACCATCATTACCAATGTTATTATTGTTATCATCATCATTATCAATATCATTTTATATTATTAAAACGTTTATTTTCATATTTTTCGTGTGGTTGTTCGTGCTATTCTTTTTCTTATCGTTCTTCTCCTTTGGATCATTATTATCATTTTACTTTTCATGTCATGACCATCATCATCATCATTATTATCATCATTACGATCTCCTATTATCATCATTGTTATCATCATCGTAAATATCATTGTTGTTGTTATTGCTGCTATTAATTCTTTTCTATAATTTTTGTCACTAATGATAGTGATATCATTTCATTATCGTTATCAACACCATTGGTTTTATTGGCATAAGAATGATTTTTTAATCATTATGATGCGCATTGTTCATATTTTGATTATGATATCACTTATGTTCACCGCCGTCATCATCATTATGATTTTCATTTTCATTTCAGTTGCCATATTTTAAGAAGTGCTGCGCATTTTCACTACCATTGTTAACATTGACATCATTATGAATATTATCAATATAATTAATAATAATAGTAATTAAGTATGATAATTATCATAAAGGCATGATCATTTTCATTTTCATTATCATCACTATCGTTATTGTTCTTATCAACACATCTATTGAGATTGTCAGTGCTGTTGATAGTGCAGTCACCATTCTTATCATCATCATTAACATTATGCAATATGATCATCACTGATTCACCTTTCCTGCCTTAACCGTGTAAGCGTTTTCATAATGTTAGATCTGTTTGTTGAATGTCAAAAAGCACTAATAAATCAGGATTGGAATTTCGGCTTTGGAATTCATTCTGATTATATTTTCGCAATTGTTTTATTGCATATCCTGTGATCGCTGTTCTTTCTCTTATTTCCACCGACATAACCGAAGCAGCGACAACTGCAGCAGCGGGATGTCCTCGTCGTCGGCGCCACGAACATTGGCATAATTATTTCCTGACGTAGTCCTTGTAGCCCAATCTGAGTTGATGACAGACACACACGCACACGCATACACACGCACATACAGACATACGTATATATGTGTGTGTGTGTGTGTGCAGGTATAAAAAAAAATCCTTTTTTCTTTCTAAAAGCAACGAGATATTCGCGATTTTTTTCAAGGCTTTATTGGTTGATAATATTCTGTCGTTATGTGCTTTAATGCTGTCAGAATTGTCCTATGATAGATACAACTGATAGTGTTGTACTTTTACATAAACGTTTACAATTTTCTATTCAGATGATGGCAATTTGAAAGTTGTCAACCTTATCATTATCATCAATAATTATTTCTATAAAAATCTATTCATAGAATCGATACTGGCAATAGCAAGGTAGTAGTATGTCGGTGTTTTTAATCAGAGTAATTAATATCATAAATTTAATTATATTTATCAGTTTTCCACTTTTTTCTTTTGTCTTTTCTTACTGTTGCGAATATCAGTGAATTCATGTTCTAATCTTGGCTTTTCTTGTTTTTCAATTTTTTTTCTGTAAATGAATGGAAGGAGCGGATAAGAAAACACTTGCTATATTTGTACATTTAATATTCTATATGTTCACGAATTTTATCACTCTATAATCCACATGAATATAGATTTGACTTTTATTGCAGGTAAAACTGATTAAATACTGACATGTGTGGGCAGCCACTGCCCGTGGTGTGGGCGTGCAGGCGGCGCAGCCCGTCGTGGCCCAGAGCGGCCCGGGCGGTCCACCAGGCCGGGGACCAGCGTGGGCCACAGGGCTGGGTGGCCGCCCGCACGCCCACCTCCGCCACAAGCCACAGCGACACAAACACCACGCGATTGTCAACGGCCCCACACACCACCCAATTGTTCGACGAACAACTGAGCCCCGGGTAGAGTGTGGGGGAAGGCCCGGTCCGCGCCGCGCCCGGCAGCCCTTCTGCCGGCTATGTCTGCAAGGGACGCGCGGTGCGGGCCATGAGGGCCAGGCTGGGCCACCACGAGAGTGGCCCGGGCCAGGAGGCACGGCCCGCAGGTCCGTGTGAGCGGGACGGCCCCCTGGCGGATATGCGGTGGACCCTGGCTGGATATGACGTGTCTTGCGATCACAGCACCAGCACTGTCAGCCCGTCACCAGGCGCCTGTCACGCCACACCTGTCACAGCTACGTTCACGCTCGCTCGCACGCGAACCCATTCACGCTGAACCTGTCATGGCTATCATCACGCTTAATCCTTCTATTAAATGACCACTTGTGGTTTTATCATATTTTTGGTTAGTACGAATAAGCATGCATGTGTTCGACACCTAACAAACAGATGTGTCATGTGTACTGCTGTTGAAGTCTAGTCAAGTAATGCGCACAGCCTATCATGCTATCCTGTCATACACGGTCTGCTTCTTATACATAATATCTACCACACAAATTTATCATATATCTAGAGTATCTTACACACATTTCGCGGTTACCAACTCTCAGACATCTCTCACTTTGCCTCTTCACTCTAGTAAGCACGTGTGTTCATCTGGATCACGCTAAAAGCAAAGATCTATTGACCATTTTGTCTACTCTAGACACGCTTCAGTCGTCGCGTCTGCCAGGCTTACAATGCATGACGCACACGGAGCGCCATGCAAATGCTGAGGACGCAGTCGCGTCTCCCTAAAAGTTTAAATTTCCATCAGACCTTCACTTTCCTCCCGTCCATCTTGTTTTGGCGACTTCTTCCTCCAAAACCGGCGCGCCGCCCGTCCGGCCGCGCGCCCTCCTCTCGTCTCGTCCAAACCCCGTTCGAAATAGTCAATGGGTCAAATGAGTGTGATTCATCTATTCACGCACTCGCCCTTCACTCGTTGTACACGCGACACTTTGCATCCCTTAAACTTGAGACATCAAAACGTGAAATATATATACCACATGAACACCCAACGACTGCCATTCTCTCGTCTGCCACACTGTCAGAACTACCCGAACACCTGTGTGCGATACAACACACTCCACAGAATATACAACACAACATTCAACGTGGAAGAGCAACAGCTACACCGCGCCCATACACAGGGAAACGCGGAGAGGTGGCAACACTGTAGAGGGACCACTTAAAGGAAACGTGGCACCAAGGGACCACTCTGGGAAGGGTGACAACACTTGAAGAGGGGTTTACGTGGGAGGGGATCAAGTGGCAACAATTCAGGGGAACGAGGTGTCAGGGTGTTGGCAAAAGCAGTGGGGTCTACCCGAAGGGATGTCTAGCCAGTGGAAATCCACTGAGATGGAGGGAAGGGAGGTAGGGAGGATGGAGGGAAGGGCTGGGGAGAGGAAACAGGGGCAGAAACAAGGCTTTCGCACAGCGGGAGAGCCTCACAGGGGAAACGCGGCCCAGTGTAAAAGGTCGCGTCGTGGAATGTGGGACCACTTAATACGTGAAAGCCCTTCTCCCCGGAAGGAGCACTTCCACCAAGAAGGGCCAAAGAAAGGAAGCTGACCTAAAGGGAAAGGGGAGGGACACTTTATAGAACCACCTCTTTAAGGGAACACTGAAAAATTGAATGTTGAATGGAAAGGGGACACTGAGAAAAGATCGCTAAGGAATAAGGGCGGGGAAAACATTTAGTTGGAAACCACTTTAAACGGGATTATAATGAAGACACTGGGTTAAACGATGTATGGTAACACTTAAAGACCGAGTCACCAGAAGGGGAGAGAATTACAAGCATCGTCACGTAGGAACACAGTGGGTCAAACATTATTTTTTTCTTTCGTTTTTTTCTCGAGAATAACACCTAACTACCGGTATAAAGATTACACGCAAATTGTTCCGGTAGCTAAGGGAGGGAAATTATGTTAAATAATCTTAAATTGCGGATAGAAATGAATCTACAAAAAAGACAATAGGAAAAGAAAACATACAAAAATGAAATATACATCATGGGAAGATAAATGACATTCTAGGGATCCTTGGTACAAACTATTCCCTACAAGGACCCAAATGATAATGAACAAAACAAACATACATGAAATACATCGTAGGATCGGGCATGAGTTTGTCATGTCCATAAGAACAAAAAAATCACATCGAATAATACACTTTTTCATTTCAACTTGAGAACAAGATGGGGTTTGTGGCTTTGTAAAATTCCAGACACATAATCATGTTCTTCTCTGGGGGACCACTGAAAATCATCCGGTGAAATGGGGTTCCTTTTTTCGTAAAATAACTGATTTTCAAAAACCTGACATGAGAAAAGCAAAATAAACAGCTGTCATGGAATAATTCCCAAATACTGCTGTCAGGGACATTCAATAAAATATTACCAAGAACATATGCGTTTTTATCTATAAAAGGTGTAGCCATTCAGGTAAACATTCGACCGATGGCTGGAGTACAACCTGTGCAGAGTACACGCGATGACAAGGGAACCTAACCAATGGAAGAGTTGCGTTTCAGAGGTCATTCGACTGCTCAAAAAATCCAAAAACGCGAACATATAAATCGGGAATTTGTCACAAAAAGACTGGAAGAACACCCTATATCATTTCCTTTTTTCTTTTCTTTTTTAGATGTCAAAACACCAATAGAACTAAAAACTAATTCACATGAGGAAAATAAAATCATTTGCTAAACAAGAAAGACAACTCAAAATCGGTGCAAGCCAACGGCTACCAGCGCTGAACGCAAAGGCAATCGAAATAATGAAAACGTCCCCGGGATACATACAGATATACACTCACACACGTATATGCATACTCACGCACACATATACATACACATATGTGCATATATATAAATATATATATATATATATATATATATATATATATATATATATATATATATATATATATATATATGCGTATGTTTAAGTATGGATGTTTGTATATATATTGCATGTATATACACATATGTGTGCATATACACATACACATATATACCTACATATATGTGCGTATATGTAAATACATATATATATATATATATATATATATATATATATATATATATATATATATATATATACATATATACATACACATATATACATATATTAACATATATAGGTGTGCATGTCTGTGTGCGTATGCACGTGTGTGTGCACATATACACATAAACGACCACGATTATTCGCAAGAGAAAGGCCCGTTGGCTTCGCAGTGCGGCAGCGAAAGGCCTCACTGGCACCGAATCTACGTAGAAATAACGAGGAACGAAAGAGCCGCTGCTCCGCCCGAAGGCGTCGGAGCCAACTGAAATCGGGGACGCGGGACAGAAGCGCCGACGAGGGCAACGGGAAGCCAGCGCGATGTCGAAGGCAAACGAGCGGCGCTGGCCTCGAAGGGAAGCAAGAAAGGGTCCTGAAACGAGGCGGGCAGCTCGTGCGAGAGCCTCCGGGGTGGAGAAACACGGAGCCCGGGTTGGGCGCCGCCGCTGGCGTTCCGCTCGGCCAGGGCGCGCGCGGTGGGCGGGGGGGGGGGCGGAGGCTTCTTGCCTCGCCCTTCAGCTGATTCACTGGGGAGAGAACGCCCATGCATACAAACAAGTGGCGTCTTTGGGAGGAGGCGTGAAGTAAAAATTTTGAGAGAAATAAATGTGTATATATACTGTAAGAGTATATGTATGAATGTGTTTATATTTTACTGGGCCATTGGTTTGGACATTTGCCAAAATTCGACCGAAAAATACAAACATTTCCACAAAAGATACCTGCTGAAATCGTCACGAATG